TCCTGGTGCATGAAGAGGGATCTCCTCACCATTTTTGCACAACAACTGTCTCTCTATCTTCTTAAAGTGGGACTGGAGGGGAGCAGGACGGGACACCCTACAACAGGAGGGAGAATCTAGTTTGAGAGTTGCTTGCGTTTTTTGTTTGTTTTGAAGATCTTGACTTTTCTTGGGTATTTCCTTACCTAAAGCAAATTTGGGTGCTGGGCTGAGGTGTTGCTCATTTGAAACTTCCAATGCATCAGGCCTGCAGATGAGATCTGCTGTTGGATATTGAAGCTGTTGCTGTCACTGTCCCCACAGAGAAACTAACCGAGCTTGATAGATTTTCTCGATCCTAATGGAAGCTCTCTTTCTAGTTGGGAAGAAATGTTCTCTGTTGGGACAGGTCCATGACCTATTTTAGAGAGTCTTGTCTGTACAGAGTGGTTGCTATTTTCTTAGAACAAGAAGCCATCTTCCAGGAGCTCCTCCTTCTTTTTATTTCAATCACTTAGTTCTTTTAATTGTAAAATAACAGAATCTGAAAGAGAGGAGGCTGAAGCTCTTTTTTGTATTTGTGTGTAAGGAATGGCAGAGGAAATAATAGTTTGCTTTTCGTCATCAGATTAAGTAATTGAAAAACTTCCAGATGCTATAGTAACAGCAACACATTTGCCAGATGTCAACAAGCATATTTTAATCCTTTTATTTTAAGTTTCAAGCTATTGAAGAAAAGTATATCTAGGTGTGGCAGTCTTAATAGCAGCTTCAGCCCGTAGCTACTTGGGTAGCCTAGGAAAGAACCGCATAGTATCGCTGTTGGAGAGACTGTTGATTAAATTTATAGAAAAAGCTTTTCCCAGATGTTCTTATGGGGCAGGAGCCCATCCTGAAGATTTGTGTTTCTCTCCGAGACACTTTTATGATGTCCTGTTGGGTATACGACGCGTGCTCTTCTGTGTGTTAGATTGATTTGAGGTACTGTGACATTTTTCTTGGAAGGTGTATGAGCCAAAAAAGTAGAATGAAAAAGTTTCAGAGACTGGGCTTTCTGCCTAATACCAATTCCGTGTGGCTGTGCTGGTCTGTATGGCTGGGATGCTTACTGGGGAGCAGGAGTAAGATGTCCACAGAACTGTCCTGTCCCCTGTTGACACTGAGTAAATGAGTCTAAGCTGAAATGATAGATGTAGAGTGGAAGAGACTGTTTTTCTAGTTAAACATTTTAAACTGTCAGAGGAGGTGAAAAATGCGTTGTACTCTTTCCTGTGGCCTTTTCCTCCAAAGAGTCTGTCATGCAAGAAAAGGAGGGAAAATGTGCCCGGCGTGGATCAAGCCCTTAGCTTTTCCATGTTCATTTGTTTTTATTGTAAGATAAACCTTTCATGTTTTATTGTTACGAAGTTAAAGCCTGGCCTAGAGGTGCTGATCTTTAGTAGAAACAGCTGCAGACAGAGTGTCCCCTGGTCAGGTGGGAGGCTCTTTGAAGCAACATGTTGCCTCTTTAAAAGGAAATTGAGCATGTGAGAACTTAAACCTGTAAAACTCATCAACAGTTCTGCCATTGTTTATCTCTGGTGTAACTTTATATAGAATTAAAGTGAAACGTGTTACTTTGCTTCCAAGACAAGATGGTTTTGCCCCCCCTTGGTCCTGGAGACACAGGAAATGACCACATAACCACAAATACTTTCTAGTGGAATGAAGATGAGTGACAAACTATCCACAGAAATAGGTTCTTAACCAGATGGGCTAAGAAATTAAATGTAGCTAAAGCTTCTGGTTTTAAGTTAAAACCAATGCTTAAACATGAAAAGCAAGTAGAAAAGAGCAAATGCTGTATATGCACTGGCTGACGTGAGGGGGCAGATCTGAGCGTTTCTTGTTGATTCGGTGTTGCGATCAGCAGCAGTTTTCAGTGTAGACTGTAGTCTGTTCCTCAGTAAGAAAAGGAATGAACCGAACTGCCTTTGGGATGAGGGAAGCTAAGGTACTTTTTTGGCTTCATTTCTCAAGTTGTCTTCTTGTACAGAAAACAAAACCCCATTAGCTGTTAGATCTCCTCCTTTACTTCTCTGTAGCATTTTCATTACTTAAAGCAAGGCCCTAGGTATCTTACCATCATCTTTTTAAACTAATCAGCCACTGTACTCCCCTTCCTGCTGGAATAGGATGCAGTGATAGCCTCTAAAATTGACACTCTGCATTTCATGAAAAAGAAGAATCCCTTCCCTCGAACCAGGCTCATCAATACTTCAGAAAAAAGCTTTCTTAGGAAAGACCATTCAGTCTTAACAAGTCAGTCATGCTGGACCACATCTGCTTAACAGTGGTGTTGGGTATTAGTCTGGGGGAAGACCTAGGTTTTGTTTTAGGCTTAGGCTGAATTGCAGTTGGCAGAGATAATGAATTTTTCACCTTTAAGTGTATCCTGTAGCTTCCCCCATGGCTAACAGGAAGCAGCATTGATGGCATCTGTGTGGAGCCCTTACAAACGGGGGTGTAATGTGAGAGAGCATCTGAAGGAGGTGAAGAGAATACGAGATAATGAAGATTGCTGGACGTAGATGGAAAGAAACTGTATTAACTATAGCTGCTTCCTTAGAGCAGGCTTTTCTTAAGACAAGAAAGTAAGCACTTCACTACCACTCTGGTAAGAAGAATGTGGGTTTGACTGGTAACGTGGAAAATGTGGTGACATTAGAAACTGCCTGGGCTCTGCATGGAGATGATGCAGAATTTGTCATCCTGTAAATCATTTCTCATTGATTAGCTAAACTGTTTGGATTGGCAGAGGGGATCTTTTCTTGGACAGGAAGCGTAGGACCAGTATCACTCACTGCATGACAGGCCTTCTGAACCGGTCAGTTCAAACAACGCCTAGTGCTGTCTTGAACAGAAAGTAATTACCTCCAGAAAGTCCTTTTCAGACCTACAGTACAACAGCCCAAAACAAAAAGGCAGCATAACTACATATTGTAGGAAAAGACTGGCAGAGGGAGTCAGGTCAGAGGGCCAAACAGTTGTCCGTTGGATGAATTCTTGAAGATAGTAATTATCCTTAATAGCATAAACATTCTGCGAGAGCCAACACCAGCTGTATTATAGCAAAGGTACAGAACGAAGGCTCTACTTGGGGAGGGGGAGTGGAGAAATTAGCACGGATGAACTGCTGCTCTGAGTAATGCATGATGTCTCTTCCAGGCTGCATATAAATGCCAGTCAATGACATGGTATGAGTAGTTAGCCGTTTATAGGAGATGCTCCAAGTAGTGTATCTCTTACAGTCTGAAATGCAGAAAAAGCCTGAAGCTCTGACCAGACATCTGAGGAATTGAGACTTTCCCTTAGCTGTGCAAATGATTAGAGTGAAAACCTGACCTTCTGCGAAATGCTCCGTTTCTAAAATGTCTGGGGGAGTTATGTCAGGACCACTTGGCAGGCGGTCAAAGTTCTTCCCTGCAGTTGCATGTTTTGTAAGCCTACTCCAAAGTTGTAATGACCTGGTAAAGTAGTTACCGCTGTCACAATTGGAGCTATGAAAACGTGTAGTAAAATGAAAAGAGTTTTCAAAAGCAGCTCTGATTTCCAGCTCTCAGTAAATATGGATGAATAATAAATGAAGTCCTAACAGGAGAGTAAACATAAGGGGGTTTGCTCAGATCATCTGTTTGGTCATCTCTCTTCTAATATTTGAGTTTTTTTTTTTTAATAAATGAAAAGCGTGGAGTGCTTAGTTAATTTACTAGATAGTGCAGTGAGTATTGTTTCAATAATCTGTGCCTCCATAGGAGCTACCATTAGTATATTTTTTGCAAGGAAAAAGGTTTAAAGAGCAGAAGGAAACTTAAAAAAAAGAAACATACTCCTATACGCCAAGAGGGTATAGGATTCTTTGGCATTGTTCTGGACTCAACCCACTTAGTAATGCGTTCCACAGGAGCTTAAATAAGGATCACATACTTTTAGGAATAGTTAAAAAAAAAAAAGTGTGCCTTTTAATTAATAAAACTCGTTATACTTAAGTTAGATTTCCTGTATTGAAAGGAGAGAATTGAAACCCGTAACAGGATGTTTGCTGCAAAATAAACCTGAAACTTGTTAGATTTTTTTTTAATGAGCATATGCATGACTGATTTTTTTTTTTTCCCTTTTTTAAACTTTTGTACGTCTGTGTCTTATCTAAAATTCTTGTCTTTAGTGGATATAATTAAAGGTAGAATTTACCCACTGAGCTCAAAGTTTTCACTGTTATATTTATTGGGTCGTGAGAGGAGTTTTGCAGACTTGCCTAACTTCTTGCAAAAAATCATAAGCACACCTTCCAAGGAAAGCAAGAATTATTTTAAAATATGCCAGCCGAGTTCTTGAATGGTGCTTGGATAAATTTTTTTCAACTGCTGCAGTTATTTCTATATATAGTATAAGGATGTGAAAAGTCATTCATTCCTAATGTGTTTAAATATGCTCCATAATGAATGTTGTGGATGTGAAAGATAAGCAGCCTGGAGCTTTCTTTTGCAAGGTATAGGGTAACACAAAGCATCAAAGTTTTGCTGCCCTCAGGACACACATTGAAGTAGTTAAAGTAGTGAGATAAACGAAATACAATAAGATATTAATCTGCAAAATCTAAAGCTCAAGGACACAATAAGTTTTCATTTAAGTGTTTCTCATTTGCTGACAATGAGCCAAATAAGTCTTAATTCCACATTGTAGATGGTGACAGAAATTCAGGAACTTTCCCTAGGATAAGTGTCTGGTTTGTTTCCCAAATCTTTCTGATAATGTTCTTGTATATGTTGGGATTCTAATCTGAATTAGATGCTTACAGTTACTCAAGAAAACAAGAATTATTTTTTTCAGAATTGCTATTTAAGAACATTTCTGTTTGGTGTGCTGAAATAACATGTAGTCTGATATTCCTGAGTTGGAACAAAGAATTACTGTAAAGAACTGAATAATTTTCCATTACTTTGCATTATCTTAGTCCTCACTTGCTGCATTTCTTCTTACAGGTGCTGGATTTGGATTAGGAATTGTTTTCTCAGTCATCTTCTTCAAAAGTACGTATACTGCAGTAATCTTGACTGCCTGGTTTCCTAATGTTTTTTTCCTAATTCCTATTGTAGGTGCAGCTTAAAACCAAGAAGTCTTTGAGGCATGTAAAACTTAATCAGTATGTTAGACCAATTCTTTCATTATTGGTCATGTCCTTTCAGTTGAAATGGAGTTACCTAAACTTTTGACTGTTGTGTAACAAGGTTGTTACGTGCGGCATCTCTCTAAGCTCCTACTGTGCTCAGCTCAAATTCTGGAATTGCAGGAAACCCTGAGCCAAATTACTGGAGCCATGTGGCTAGACATCAGTTTATGCCAGTCTTGCCAGGGTTTTAAAACTGATCTAAATTCTTTTTTAGTTATGCTTTGGTAACAGAATAATTTTCAGTAATAGCTGATTTTAGGACTCGTAGAACTTGAAAATGCCTAATATGCATCTTCCAGTAATGTATTCTTTCATGGTACTTACTTAACAGTGCTATCACTGCTATGTGAAATGAACAGCTCTTGTTGACTTTAACTTTTCCTGTCTGCTTGCCTTCCCCCACAGGAAAGACATGGCCTATCGCTTTTGGGTCAGGGATGGGGTTAGGAATGGCTTATTCCAATTGTCAACATGACTTCCAGTCTCCGTATCTTCTCCATGGTAAATTTGTAAAAGTAAGTATCGGTACTAGTTACCATTAATTGGTAACTGTTTATAAGTTAGCATTAAATGGTACATCTAGACACCATTTAAATGGATATTCTTCTGCCTTTTCCAAAAGAGCACCAGTAAGAAGAAACTTGTGTTGCCGAAGCAGCGGTGGTTCCCCTGCTCTTTAGAAATTTTTAACGTCTGGTGTGTCTAGCAGTAAACTTACTAGACTGAACCCACAGAATTAGTTTAACAGATCCTGCAGGTACGTTTTCCCACAACCTGAAAACAGGTATAATAAAAATACATGTTAGAAAAGCTGAAAAAACTAAATTAACGGTAAAATTCTGTCTTCAGACTTCGAAAGAAATGAACTAGGAAGAAACTGAAAGTCATGTCAGGCATGTCAGGTAGATCTGCCGGTGGAAGCAGATCTTTGATCTTCCGTGGAGTTTTTTTTGCAACATGAAAACACTAATTGCTTGTAAGTTTTGTGGCTTGTTTGGCTGGATAGTAATGTAATAATTAGTCTGAAGAAATTGTACACTTGAAATAGTTTTGAAGAGGATAATTTAAATGAGTTCAGTATTATCACTGACCTTGCTTAGATAAAATATTTAAAAAATAGATGAATTAGCAGGTACCATTTGTGCACTCGCAAACTGCTTAAAGTGCACTAAGTCCACAAACTGACTTCACTAATATTTTCTTTATTTCTTCACATGTAAAAATTGGGGCTGTTCTTATGGTAATTTATCATTGTGTATCTGGAAAAAAAGGGGTGTGCATGCGTATTTTGGATCCACAAAGCCATATACTGCTAAAAGCATTTCACTGATACTGGTGGAGAGGTATCCACCGGGACATATTTATAGTTATTTTAGCACTTCAGAAAGTACTGAGGTAAAATGGTCTGCCAGGAGCTTTTTGTGGCAAGTACACAAAATGCAAAAATTGCTCCTGTATCGCTCGTCTGCCTAATGAAGGAGGCCTGAAGGTGTTCTTAGGCTTTTCCCAATGCATCTAGAGTCGTAAGTTGAGTCTGGTCCTCCTTAGATTTACTGGCAGATGAGCTTTTGCTAGCCTTCTGCAGCCCTACCAGACATACCTGTTTACAAATACCATCTTCAGTTGCCTGTAAAGAAAGGGAAACAGTAACAAGAGTCTTGAACAACTTCTTCAGAATAAAATACTTTGGATAGCAATATAGAGAAACTGTGACTTACATGCAGCTGATACAACATTGCTAGCTACAGCCCAGAATCAAAAGTCTGTGCATGACTCTTCTAGCCAGATTTGTTAACATCAAAATGTGTTAGCTTTCCACACCATCCTGAGGGTATTCCTCCAATTTATGTCTCCAAAAAGAAACTGAAATGACGTGTCTGTGGCTTCATGTGAATGGTAAATGCCCTGTTCACATGTTCTGAGAAACCATTATTCATTCAAGGATGCTTGTTGCTAGGGTTGTTGGGCAACAAAAAAATGACTTTCGGGTCAGCCTAGGAAAGGATTTTGTTTGGATTAAGGACTAGTCTATGCTCTGGAGCAAGGGTGGTCCTTCGAAGCATGAGGTAATTGAAAGGACACTTCACAGAAGCAGCACAGCTGCCTGCATGGCACAAGACTAGACAAATAGTTTCCAGTGCACTGTCTCCACTAGCTTTCTCTGGCACAAAGAGGCTGAACATGCTGAGAGAAGGAAGACGCAGATGAAACCATCTAATGGTTAATGTCATTAATTCTGTCCAAAATGTCGTGTCATGGATAATGGCTCCATGGTTATTACAACAAAATTATTTCATTTCTGTTGGTTAGGAGCATGGAAAATATTGTTGCATTATCACTCATCTGTTTTTTTCCTAGAAAATTCTGTTGTAACTAAACTGTATAGGACTTCCTTTACAAAACTGAGTTTCTGTTCGAACGCTAACTTGTCAAAATGTGAGATTCTGCAAGAAAATCAGCTTTATTAAGAGAGAGAGAAATGTAACACGGATTAGCTTGAACAAAATTATTTCTAGTTTTCCGAACCTGTCAACTTCATGGGATCACAGGATAACTCAAGTTGGAAAGGACTTCAAGGAGGTCATCTAGTCTGAACTCAAACCAGGGTCAGCTATGAGGTCAGACCAGGTTACTCGGGGCTTTATCCAGTCTGGATTCTTGATTCTTCAGGATCAAGTTCTTAATTCTGAATCCTAAGTGAGAATGAGAGAGGACAGAGGACCTTCATGATACCAAATAATCAGGAGATTGCAAAGCAACTTTGTAGCTGTTCTAGATGTAACTTGGATCATCATGCTGCCCATCCTTTGCCTTAGTAAGTTGATCATGAAACACTAACACTAATGCAATAGCCATTCATCTAGGCCAAGAGACGACTTAAAATGCAGAGAAGTTCTAATTTGTGGTCATAAGATTCTGAGGGCTTTTTAAGCAATTCGACCAAGTGGATGTCACTGTGACTTCAGCTGAATTTAAAATCAACATCTAGCAATTATTTCAAGGCTTAAAATGGTATGGCTGAGAATTACGTGTCCTAAGGTTTCCTTGCAAAATGGAAAGTACCATATTTTTGGGGTTATTTAGCCTGTATTATTTAGCACCCAAAAAACCACAACCCTGTACTTTCATTGCAATGTGGATTATATTGATGTGCAACAATACAAGAAGTTTGGCAACTGGAGCCTTTCTTCCTGCCCTTTGTGGCTTTGATTTCTATCTGATTTCTATTCAGTCTGTGAATAGTTAACTTGGACAATTACGTTGGGGTTTTTTGAAGTACCCATTTTATCAGAATGAAGGCTTATATGCATGAAAACACGGCATGCTTCTGGTATGAAAATAGCTGCTTAACGTCTCCATACTCAACTTCTCAGTCTAGCGAAGGATGAAAATATTAGCCTACCTTCTGGAAATCTTACAAAGCTAAGTGGCTTGCTTTACATCGTGCAGCACCTTCCATGTAAGGAACCCAAATGGCTTTTTAATAATATAAGCCTTCTTGCTTTACAGGAACAGTGACTAATGACTAAGACTATCCCAGTGGGAAGGAAGGAGAAATCAATGATTATTCCTCAGGAATACTGAAGTGCCCCTGGAATAAGCCAACATTCTTCAGTAACGATCACCAGTAACTCTTTATACTCCAACAAACTGTTTCTGTACATGAAACAAAGTTCTGTTGCTTGTTTTGTATCGTGTCTGGAAAGTGCAAGGAAGAGCTCTTCTGGGAAATAAATAAAAGAAAAATGGCCTTCTCTGGTGTGTTGACTTTGTATGTGAGTGAGAGAGAGAGAGAATGGAAGGAGAGGACTTCATTTTGAGTGTCTGGCAGCTGTGACCACTGGGTAAAAGCCACTGTGAGAGCTCTTCGGAAAAGACAGCCGTCGTATGTTCCTCTCCACTCTGGAACGGCAACCCCCATCTAACATACAGTTCAAAGAAGAATTCCCACCTCATAAATCACCCACTAGCCCCCTGCTGCTTGTGCCGGTGTTTGGAGAGGAATATAAATACTCCTATGTCCTGTTTGTACAGTTGCCCTTTAAAATTGGAATTTTGTCCTCTCCAAAGAGGCAGAATCAAAAAGGGCAAATCCTAACTGTGTGGCTGATGCAGCTAGCCAGTGCTGTCTCTTGTAGCTTTGAGTCATGGAGTGACCCAAGTTTGAAACTTCCCAGGATAGTGGGCGAATCAAACAGATGCACATGCCATCTGGCTCTGAGCTTACCTTTTAGGTTGATTGTTTTTTCACCCCTCTTCTGTGGGAGAACATACAGGTTTCGGTGTCTGGGAATGGGTCACAAATATTTAAAGCTCTTTATTACCTTGGCAAGCCACTGGTCCAAGAACTCCCTTCTACTTTGCATTTACACCAGTCCATGTAATTACGTGTTGGCATGTTGTCTACTGCTCTTCTCCTGACTTGAGAGGTTGTCTTCACTGCTTATTTACTCAGCACAATTTTCTAGCTATTGAGATGGCTCTCAAGGACCTCTTTTCTTTCTCCCATGCTTGCTGCATATTGTCCACGTAGCACAAGATGTAAATGCACGTCTCCCGAGACAGAAAGGGAACGGTATAGATTGATATGGAGCTTTCCTTTATTGAAAGCCTGTTCTGCTGCATGGTGAACGCTGGCAGATGGAAGAGTGACAAAAAAATTCCTCTCCAGAAAGGAAAACACAATGGAAAACAAGTTGTGCAATATTTGTTTTTTAAACTATGCCAAAAAAGGAAGGAAATGGACTGAGGGGCAGTCTTCTGAGATCAGAGGGTTTGAGAAGCTCCTTATCTTACTGAGCAATGGGACTGAGATTTGGTCTGGGTTCTACAGCAGTCCTGCACCCCCACATCCTGCTGGGCACTTGTGTGTGGATCTTCCACACTGAAGAAGCATGTTGAGCTGTGCCCAGAGTCAACAGAAGCTGAAGAGCTTGCCTAGAGCAATGGACTTGTGAAATAAAATAGCTTTAATGCCAGAGCAGCATTAAAGACTGTCAAAGCATGATACCATCCAGGACCATTGCTTGAGCATGTCCTTGTTTTTCCACCTCCTCCCTTGCTGGACTGCATTCATCAGTCAGGTCAAAACAGCTTATTGGAAACAGGATCTCTTTCTTTCTTCCCAATTTTGAATCATTTTATCTGGCCCCAATTTTTAATTTGAACTATGTACTTTGGAGCCGTAGCTCCTCTGTGGTTTGGAAAATGTTTTTATTGAGTTCTGTGTGTGTGTGTGCTGCGATGCTAGCAGTCTGGTAAGCCAGTGGGTTCAGCTGGAGAGAAGAGCATCAACCTGGGTAAGAAACAGGAGAACCAAAAGCGGCAGCAATACTCCGAATATGACGACTGTCAACACGCAGAAAAAGCTTTAGCTAGCGCTGTGTCATTTGGGCCGTTATAATGGGTTCTATTTTTATTTAGTGTCCCTGGTAATGAGTTATCCTGCCCAGGTATGCTCTGCTTTAGTTCAAATACGACTTCCTAGAGTTAATTCTTACTTGATATGATGTACTGTGACCCGTGATCAAGTGGTTCTTCTGGCCCTGGAACTCAGAGGTTACCCTTTGTAGATATCCACTCACAATGTGTCATTTATTGCTAGAGTGAAAATAATCAAGAACAAAAGTTCTTGCTTATTAATATGAAATTCACTAGGGTGAGTGTGGAAAAATTGCACGGTTTTACTCTAAAAAGTGGAATTTAAATTTTGTCACTGCTCTTTAAGTGGTGTAAGAATTTAGTATTTTTGTTTTTCACAGCTGCTTTGCTTGTTGTTGTTTGTGTTGAGAGAGATATATATGCATATATAACTAGCAAATAATGGGCCTGTATTTGTTTTGGTTTAATTAAAGTTGTATTATTCAAAACCTATTTTTGAACCTGTCCATGTAAGCTGTGCAAAATATCTTCTTGTGAGGACAAGTCTCCTGTTTCCCTCTATGGGAGTGAGACCATACTGTTCCCAACTGAGGTTGGAATAGGAACGGTTTCCTGCTGCTTGATTTCTAATTACATAAATGGCAGGGGGAAAAGTGGAAATTCTAAGTACCAAAAGGCATGTTAAATTTAGTATAATACACTCATCTGGAAACTATCACATTTTTCCTTCTTTCTTAAGCCTGCTGAAATCATTGCTTCGTCTAACTGTAGCGTGATTTGAATCAGTACCAAAAAGTGCAAACAAGATAGGCCTAAAAAAGTCAGGTGTCCCTACCCAAAACTTAATGAGACTTTTTAGTGGAGAAGTTACTGGATCACCCTGATGCAATTTTAACAGGAAAATGGTGAGTATACAGCGAGTAAAGAAACCATACCGCTATCTAGGAGAAGGAAAAAAAAAAAAAAGAAGCAGCTGTTTGCAGAATAGAACTGTTTTTGAACGTTTAACAACTCCCTAAGTGCTTGACTGGCCACAAATCCGACTCTTAACAGCTTGATTAGATGTCTGCTGAGGCTTTGAGATGAATAAACAAGTCATGGAAAAGCAGAGACTGCAGGAAAAAAAATATCAAGCTGCTTTTCTATTGTTTATCTGAGTTCTTCATGTTTGATCAAGATACCGTCATTTCTTTGTATTTCAATCATGCCTAGGAGCCTTAGCCAAGATCAGGACCTTGCTGTATGTGGTGCTGTACACACAAATAAAAAACAGTCTCTGCCCTGGAGAATTTACAAACTAAACAGATGGGATTAAGGGAGGTAGAAAGGTTTATAATTCCCATTTTAAAGATGGGAGAAGCTGTAGCCGAGGTCAGTGATAAGTCTTGGAGGGAATGTGGCATGCAGCTGGGACTCTAATTTGAGTCTTGAGCCATTGACTCCATCAGCCATCCTTTCTGTTTTTTCACTTGGCAGGTCATGGAATCTCAGGGGAAGGCTGCCCACTTCATAGTCTGGGAGACTCCAGAGGGTATGTTCTGCAACCATTTGCTATCCTCAGATTGCCCCAAATTCTTAATAGTAAATCTCTGATAAGTTAGGAATTCCGTTTTATTGATCAGGAGGTGATTGCTTATAGAATCACTAATAGGTGTAAAACACTGAGATCCCCAGTATTGACTTTGGTGTAAATCTGAATCTGATAAGGAGAGAAAATATTGAAATGTATTACCAGTTTTTTGCATCTCATGGAATAAGACACCGCTGTGTAAGGTATAACATAAGCGTAATACCAGAAGATAGTCACTGCCTTAGTAGATCTACCTTAAATATGAACCTAGGTAACAGATCAAGATAGAGGGAGGATATCAAGGAGACAGTATCATTCCAGGAGTGGAAACACAGCAGTGATGGCATAACTCAACTATTCCAGAGGGTTCACACGGATGATTCTCCAAAGGAGAAGGAATTGGTTTTCCAGATATTTTTATTGGGTTCCCTCCGAGTTTAGTTTTTGGAGCAATGCAAAAGAAATCACAAAGGTTCTTGTTTACAAATGCAAGCAGTAGGTGCATGAGTGCACTGAAGGGGACGGTAGTTGTTGTGGTAGAGATCTAACATGAGGTATAGCTCTTACGCTTTAGCTAGAAGGGAGAGGCTAGTGGCAGAGCTGGGGAACACGTGATCTGTGACCTGATAGGAAAACTGCTTTTTTCGGCAGTGTTCTGAATCAGCGAGGCATTGCTGACCTTTCCTTTTGCTCTGAGTTGGCTGGGTTTTGTTGCTTTTCCCCCCTACCACACACATCCCACCAGTAAGAAATAAACAAACTTTTTCCTTGTCTCCCACCCCACCCCTGCCTTTGGAAACGGGACTGGTGCAAATTTTGGCAGGCCGGCTGCAGTAGGCAGCTGTATGCAATGCGTACTGTGTCTTAACTGCTCTGAGAGTCCAGCCTATAGCCCACCCACAGTGAAATGCTTAACTGAGATTGAAACTAAATGTGAACATAGTTTATGGAAATTCAGCTGTGGATCACTGTTTCTCTTGTGACTTCTGGCTGTCAGCACTTAGCTGTACAGCATTGCTAGCTATTTAGAGCTGGATGTTCCTCATGGTGGTGGATACCCACCTCCTGTAGCTTATAAAGATGCTGAGAAAGTTGTTGGTGACTAATAAATCACTCTTCATCTACAGTCTTTATTGGTAGTGCTTGTAAAGACTCCAGCTCTGGGTTAGGAGTGTATGCCCCTTCCTAGAAAAGGTCATGCCCTTATCAGTTCAAATTCAGTTCATAAATCTGCTGTTGTAAGAAGGAGCGTGTTTCTTTTTAGAAGTTTTAGAGGGTATTCTTCCTTTCCCTTGGTGCTGCACTTGAAGTTGTTAGTAGTGACTAACAGCTTAACCCAAAACCATTACTAATCCCATAAGCCATGCATTCTCTGAGGATTTAGGAGTCCAGTTGTGCTAGACAGCACCTCAGTTTTCTCCCCTGTAAAATGGAAATGGTGATACTTTCTCCACTCGGTCATGGCTTTAAGACCTACTTCATTCCCGGGTAGAATTCAGCTCTGTACAGTCAGCTAGCGTATACTGTGGGACACCACCCGTCTTCGCTGGACTGAATCGCACTCCACAGTTCACAAAATACTTTGAAGATGCTGGAATGACAAGGTAAACGTGTGCTGTGGAAAGGGGAGTATTTCTGCACTTTCTTATTCACCCTTTTATTTCTTCCAGTCACCTGCTTCTCTGTCGGCAACCCCCTGTGCCTTCTCTCCAGGACAATGTGCTTAGCACAGAGCAATAAGGGAGGAAAGGCTGTAGTTACCAATGGAGTAAGGGGAAAAGAGGCTTAGGCTGAAGGT